CCCAAAGGCCCGTAACGTACTCGGCAGCTAGGAAAGACCATAACTAGTTAGCAGCTTTCTCCCTCAGTCTTACATAGATACAATCCAGGCAATCAACTGAACAATTTGCTTATATCGATAGTTTCCTAGAAATCAACAGAAATCAGACAAGCAGTTATCCTGGAGCCCTGTCCGCAGACCTCAATGAGACAACGAATATCGGTATTAAAGTTGTTATAGCTGCATGTTGAAAAGTTCGGCGTGAAAAATATGGAGGTACCAGCAAGCGGTTAATGCCAGTTGACAAAAATCGACAGGTGTAGGACAGTTGTTGAAAAAATGAGAGCTATGCTGCAAGTAGCAATAAAAATCACCCAGGTTAAATCATCCATATTGGTGGTCAGAGAGCCCGGGCAGCAGGTATATGGGGATTAGTTTGGTTTTAACAGTGGGATTATGATCGATACCCACTCAAAATGGATAAAACTGCATCCATTTCACACGCAACCTCAAAAACAACAGTTATAAAACTGCGTCTCATACCCGCCACCTTCGGCATCCCAGACATCAATTACTGATGAAGTATTCGAAAAATTATTGAGTAGTACTGGAATACAACAAGTCAAGTCCGTTTTGAGCCTCATCCGTTGAACGGGCTAAAGAAGCATGCATTCTAGGCTGTCAAGCAAGATCTCTCCGAGCATCCTATGGAACTGGGCAAACAGTCAAGTCGCCTCTGATTTGTTTACTGTACGACGCAGAATGAGTGGAGAGAAGAGTCAGCAACTGAGTTCATGTTTGGCCGGTGATTACGGAGGCGATGGCACCTGACTTTTTCCAAACCCGCGAAGGAACACAGAGGCGGAACAAGAGAAGACGGTTGGGAGGAGAAGAGGCCGGTTACCCTCGAAGCACAGTCAGCCATGAAGACCAAAGGACTTGGTACAGGAGGCAGTGAAGAAGAAAGTTTATATCGAATTACCTTTCAAGGGTGATATGGCCACGTTAAGCACCACAAAGCGCCTGATCGCTACTGTGCATAGGACCCACTATGCTGCTCAAGTCGTCATCATCAACAGAACCAGCAAGTTGCCAGTACCTCATCCGCAGGAGGCTCTGCCAATCGGCGCCAGTTCTCATGGTGTATACCAATTTACATGTAACTGAGGAGCCAGTTACATTGGCAGGACCGATAGAGCATTGTCGTCCCGGATGAAGGAACACGTACCGAACAGCCATTTTGTACCCAGGCCCTGTCGTTGCGTAAGTCGCCGGCATCCTCCATAGGTAAACACCTATTGATTACTGGTCTGGCTCGATACCGTATTCGAAACTTTGCTGCAGCACTAATCCGCGATTTCAGTAACTGGAATATTCCCAATTCATTATCAAGAACAAAAGACCGAAGGTAAACAATTGTTTTCGATGATTCATCTTCTGACCCGTACAATCATATGGGTGGAATAGCAATGGGCGTACAAGTGGATTAACGATCAATTCAAATGAGATTGATCACGTGTCGACAAAAGGTATGAACCAGTAACAGACAGCAAACTGGGACAGAGGTACAGTTGCACAATTGCAGTTTCGCTCAGAAGGATCCGTTTTGGCTGGTCAAGGTAGCTTAACTGCTTCGATCAGCTTCTTTTGTGCACACAAAAACGGTTGATACAACCGAATGCTGATCTCCTCGGCAGTAGCAAGGGTGCGGAGGCGCAGGCCTTTCGACTGGAGTGGAGGGACCCTGCATAGTATTCGAAAGACACTGACTGGGTCAACCTCATGCCCACTATCAACAAGATGAGCCATAACTGAGCTAGTTATAGCCCCAGTACCGCCTCGACGCAAACAGCGTGGTAGGTGTTCCTTAATGCGCTTCGACAGTTGCCGCGCTGTTCGACCGATGTAGGTAGCGCCACAAGCGCACTCGCACTGATAAATTACCATAGAAGCGGTCAGCGTCGGTAACTTGTCTTTGTTGTAAATACGGATGAGTGGCTCCGTGGAAAAAGTACACCTAAGCTTGGCTGCTGGAAAAGTTGACTTGACAGCTGTTGAAAGGCTTCTAGTTACACGTTCAGCAGCGGCGTCTCCCTTGAAGGGTAGTCGTATGAAAAGTTCTTTTTTCTCTGCTGTCTGAACCTGCAACTGGTCGGGCTTATTTTGCATGTTCCTAAAAGTGAAACGATCAGGATATCCGTTTTCGCGCAGCAAATTCTGAATGAACATCAATTCATTATCCAACCTGTTTTCAGAACAGATCCTGTGGGCCCTTGTTGTTAGACAGCGAATTAGGTTTCGCTTATATCTCAGCGGGACGAAATTGTGAATGTTCGTATACTGGCCACTCCAGGTTTTCTTCCTGTAGATCTGCCGTTGGATCGAGCCGTCTGCCCTTCTAGTTAACAGCACATCAAGTAACGGCAACTGATCGTTCAATTCCTTTTACTAGGTAAATTGCAATGATCCTTGAGCCCGATTAAAACGGTCAATAACAGCATCAAGGTCAACTGACTGGTCGGCCACGACAAATATGTCGTCCATATAGCGGTGGTAACATTCAAAGGCCGTGCTCTCCGCATGTAACTTGGTATTCTCTAATTTCGCCATGAAGACATCAGCTAACAACGGACCCAATGGTGATCCCACGCCTACACCATCCTTTTGTCGGTAGTAAGTGCCATTGAATAGGAACTGTAGGTTCCAAGTGCAACGCAAAAGAAGGCTTTTCAAGTCACGCAACGGTATGCATATACTTGCTTTTGTTTCTACTATATAGGAGCAAAGGTAATCGATCGTCCCGAAAAGTGGCACGTTGGTGAAAAGCGATACAACATCTAAGGAAAACATTACTTTCTTATCGACGTTGCGATCTTTGATGCTTTCGATGAAATGAAAGGTGTCACGAAGGCTGTAGTGTGTAATTCGCTGTCTTACTGGCTCTAGAAATTCCACAAGCCATTGGGCGACGGCATGGTAGGGTGAGTTAACCATTGATAAGATCGGGCGATGCGGGATACCTGTCTTATGAATTTTCGGTAACCCATAAAGCCTAATAGAACGATTCCGGTACCCTTGTCCGGTTTGCTCAGAACGATCTTACCATTGCGTCGTAAATCCTTTAGTGCGTCAAGGTGCTTGCGTGTCAGTGGACCGTGAGTTTGGACATGGCACTTGCGATTTCTTCGTTTCGCTAAAGCTATAGCGATTAGCCGAATGCAGCCTATGCTGTGCATGCATAAACAGCTATTCGTCAGTCGCAAGCTTCTGTGGACATAAGGACCGAATCGTTTTCGCCCATCTTGATCCCAAAGTTTGTTTCTTCGTTTTTGGTCACATCCACCATTTGCCATTGTTTCTCATCGGTTGTTATTGGTACTGAAGAGACAATACGAAATACCTGCATCTACCAAATGTCGTCTCCTTACTGTACTTTTCAAATTGCTGAAGAGAAGTAATTGCTTTCAGTAGAAATGTCCCAAGAACTATGTGATTCGGTGCATACAAGGCTGTATCACGAAAAAAATTAGCAACCGGCTAACGTGTTGTGATCCAGGGTTAACCAATCCAACTGCAATTGAAAGGCGGTCGCGTGGTGCGCTGCCACACAAAGCATGTCGAGGAGAAAGCGAACGACTGCTACTAACACACAAACGGATGGGGAGCTGCAAGCAAAAGCAATCGGGCCAAATCCCGACGCGGAAGGAACAACTAAGAAGCAACCGTCGAACACAGTGAAAACAAGGGTGGCAAAGACGCATTAAGTATTTGGTCGTGAGCAAAGGTGCTCATGTGATTTGTTGACATGTACCTCGCCTTAACCTCCTTATATCAGAGCTTTTTCAGAACGGTCATTTTGGTCAAAGCCATTGATTAAACGGTTAGCGATTCACCTGTGCGTTCTGTTGCGTCCACAGAGCAAAGAGTAATAATGAAAAGAATGAGGCGATAACAACTTCTCACCGAAATTCATACTGGTGCTTGAAACAAACAAAAAAGTTGGAAACAGCAATACAGCCGAGGCGGAAAGATGATGAAGCCAAAAGAAAACATTATTGTTGAATATACTTTGAGAAACTGGGTGGAGCTAAAATAAAAGCACGAAGATTTGGTCCAGCCAAGGTGAACAATTATGATCCGGGAACCGAAACGCGGTGAATCGTGTAGCCACGATGCGACTCGCCAGGATAACATTAAATGGCAATAGTGCGAAAATGGGGTATGACGAAAATAGAATACAGAGAAAAGCGGGCTGAGAAAGAAAGGTGTAAAGCTAACAGGGATGGACTGAGTATTAACAGAAGCGCCGCTGACTTCGCGGCTGTGCCATTTCCGATAGCGTCCACAAACATGGAAGTGGACAAACCCGAGTCTTCCATCCACGAAAACGGTGCGCACCATTCGAACTAAGTTTCTCAGTTACATTCCTCATGCCTTTATGCCTCATCATCGAATTATCACCTGGCGAACGCGTCCAAATTGACGTAGGGACAGCAAGTTTTCCATACCGAGGAAGACGGTCAACAAGCATACAGAGGATGTGGCCTAGCTCTAATGATGCTCAAGAGAACCATCTAGTATTTCCCAGTGGATTAGAGAAATATGCAGAACATCGCATCATGTTAAAGTTTAGCATGGTTGAGAGCGACGATGAGGAAAACGTACATAATGGGGTAAATGCGACAGTGGCTTTGTTTTACCGGAGAATGTGCAAAATGGCACATGGAAGGCGTTACATTGAAACGTTAACGTCCAGAAGACGACGAAAAGAAAGCTGACTATAACAGACCAATGGGTTGGACTGTGCCTTAAATTATGGAGAAATATACACTTGGTCATCAGTACCATTAGCATCATTTAAAGCAGTTTACCAGTTATCAAACAAAGAAAAAACACCGTGAACGAATGGAAAATTCAATAAATGCAACACAAAGAAGGGAATACTAAACTGTGCAACAAATGAAAACGTCGCCAAGAATGACAAGTGTGTGTGATGAAAAGCGGAAACAAAAATTGAAAGCTTACTCCGGAGCACATATGCAACTGAACAGGTCGGGAGGGCAAATAAGTGGAGGTAACCACTCGAAGTCACAAGCAATAGTAGATGGAGGGCGATGTGATTGCAGTGCAGCTTCGAGGCTATCGGATGGGTGATTAACAAAGGAAATTGGTGTCTTCACATGCGCGGGAGTTGACTTTCGACTGACGCTGTGAAATTCGGCAGTAGGTTGATCGAATTGCTGAGATAAGGAAAGTTAAGCAAACAGTCACGTGTGAGGTGTGACACAAATTCTAGGTTGCGTTCAAGTACAATATGCTGAGCAGCCTATTTTGAACCATCTGAAATCGAGTATACATACAGAATAATGGAAGCAACTAGCAGGTCCCAATAAGACGTGCAAATACTACCCAACAGACTGTAAACGTTGCTCAACCGAATGTGTCAAAAAACAATGACGGCACAATAAACCTAATATATGAAGACGGACACAGTACGCAATTTTTGGAATACAAGGACTAAAATGACGACAGTCCGGTGTAACCAAGGGTAGTTGAATTTTGTGGTGAGTCCAAAAATTAAAATGGATTATTGCGAAAGAGGACATAGTGGTGCATCCGATGCAAACAGGAAAGAATTTACCGTTTGTGCGAAGAGCAACAATCAGTGAAAAAGACGTCTAAAAATAGAATTAGAGACGGATGCACCACTTCAGATGGCGACGTTAATAACCACATACACCAGTATGGCATAAACAGAGTTAGACAACCATGCACAAGTTCGCGAGAGTTGGAATAGAGTTAAGTAGGAGGAGCAAGACACCCCGGGCCAAATTCGAATACCTCCTCAAAGGAGTGAAGATCGTGACCGTGAGTAAATATAATAAAGGTAATCAGTCAAATCGAATCAGTAAGGATACTGGCATCCAGATAGTGTATGCACTGAGCGTGTCACCGTAAAATAAACTGCGCGCGTGGTGCCCTTGTATAGTTCCAGGAGAAGGGAGGAAACGCCTCCTCTCACACATGCAGTGAATAAAGAAAGGGATCAAGGATATGATGAATTCATTAAGCAGATAGAGTGATAAACAGATGCCGTTGTGGGTAAACGCAAACCAGACAGCCTCAGGGTTTGTAGACAGTAGAAAACCGACAAAACATGGCATATGGACAGCAGAAACGAGCGTAGGAACCGGCACCATAGTCATATGCTTAGCTAATTTGGTCATAGTTTGCTGGACGCAATCGAGTTTAAAACGAAGTCAACTAATTGGCTGAATACTTTTGTCGGTAACAGGTTATAATTGAAAAGAACAACTAATTTGATCATGCCTTGTTAGCGTGACTCATGTAACACCGACAATATACATTTAGTTGTTTGTTAACTAATATTTTAGATTGAAGACAGAATGAATGCAACGTGAACACCGTGCATTACATGAGAATAGTCACCCAATCTACCGATTATCATAACAAACATTCGGAGGGAGTAGTGTTCGAGAAGGACAAGATGCAATACTACTCGAGTAGTGAGGCGGAGGAAGTGGAAATGAAATGGGACAGGTGAGGGGATGTACTTGGACCGTGACAGTCCCAACAAGAATGGAGAACAAGTGGATGTATTAGATGCAGACGACTAATGAGTTTTCTTTGTGTGAATATCCGAACCAAATGAGTGATGGGTTAAGAATTCTTTTCGTGTAAGCTCTCATCGAACCCAAAGGTTTACATGGCAGAGATTAGATGATTTTAGAATCCAAATGGGCTGGGAAATTGATTACTAGGTTGTTTGAATAGTCAAGTCAATATCTGATGGCTAAACCGCATATGGTAGGCAAAGTAAAAAATGAAAAAATATCACACAGAAGTCTGACCTCACAAGATAACCGGCTCGGGTGTTAGAAAAACTGTTAGGTGACAGTGTCTGTTGGCCAAAGTAGTTGTAAGTGGCGGACGTACCACTTTTACACACATAGTTAGGGCTTCAAATAGCGAATGTATATAGCCTTGGAAATGGACAGGAGCTGCTTGCGGAAACCGAGTGTGATGCGTTCAGGCAAGGAGTATATAACTTTGAAGTCATCCCCAGAGCAGATGTGGTCAAAATCAAGGAGTGACAGAATGGCGCTATTTGAAGGTCTCATCTCCGCTTTATAGAACTAGGCCGGTATGTGCTTGCGAATCCTCTGAGACAGGCACCTCGTACTGCGACCCACGGATGGTGCACCACGGGAGCACGAGTAGTGATAAATGAGTACTGAACAGGTCAACGAGGGCAGTCCATTCTTCAATGATTTTGAAAGCAACGGCTTGTTGTAGTAAACAATCCTCTATCGAGCTGTGAAATAAGTCCCCTCAAATGCATCTTTTAAGCGTCGAGATAGTAACAGCGTCGCTCTTAGATGGTAAGTGCATGAAAGCTCTATTTTGGGAGGTGCCCGTAGGTGACTTGCGGTTGTGTTCCTTCAGGTGCTTCGCGATTAATTTGTCTGGATAGCCATTTTCTCTCAGGGCGTCGCTGATTCGCTGCAATTCTTTGTTGACGGTATTCGCCGTAACAATACTGCGCGCCCTGAAGGCGAGAGATCGAACCAAACTACTCTTGTAATGTAGCAGCACTGCGCTGTAGAAGTCCGTGTATTCTGTCACACGTTGATTTTGGCCACACCGCCTCTGGGGATGACTTCAAAGATATCAATGTGACTATTCAAACAACCTAGTAAGCCATTTCCCAACCCAATTGGACGCTAACATCATCTAATCTCTGCCGTGTAAACCTTTGGGTTCGATGAGAGTTTACACAAAGAGGATTACTCATTTGGTCTGGATTTTCCCACTGAAATAGGAATATTTGCTTTGCTGATGATCAGCATTGCCCGTGTTTCGTTGGCGCTTTTGAATGAGTATCTGAAGTTCAGTGCTCGTCTAGGACCATCGCAATGAGGCTGGACCTTACCGTGGTGCGATGGTTTGTGTGCCTCAGTGATCCATTGAGCTATACTGGGTGGTGCTTTTGCACCTTCAGAGCCACTCATACCAGATTGCTCAATGGTTAGAGGCCAGACAAACTCAGCCTCCTGGCCCTCCAGGTTGGGGGTTGGAATGAGGGTGGCTCCTTATTCCTTAAAACGGACTCCTTGTAGCCCAACCCCATACCCGCTGCCTTGCGGACATGATTTTGAACCAAAGGCTTTGGGTGAGAACCCTAATCGTTCTCCTGTCTAGGCCTGGGCAACCTGACAGTATCCTGCCCACGCAATACAATGAATCTTTCCTCAAACAAATTTCTGATGCTCTGACCACCGCAGAGGATAATCAACGGTGCCCTATCTGCTGCATCGAGCAGGGTGGATAGGGGTTTGGATGCTACTGCTCAAGCCTTCCCATCTTCTTATTCCCCTTCTTGCGCTTTTTCACCCTTATCGTCCCGTTCTAGCTTCACTTTTATCCTTCCTGTTTTCAACCCCCCAATTCTCGGCCCTCCCCCACCTTGCTTCAATAGTCGCTTGTCTTTTAGTTTCAACTCACAGGTGAACGCAGAGCGTCATTCCTACACTGTCAACAGGCCCATGTCCAAGCAAGCGGCCGATTCCAGTTCATCGGCTTCCATTTGGAGCCCTCGATCCTCCTTCAGACTGGCATGCCTCAATGTTCGCACATTGCTTCAGATCGGTCAACAGGCAACACTTGCCCGAACATCAGAGACCCTATCGATCGATATCTGCTGCTTATCGGAGACCCGCCTGCAAGACTCGAGCTCTGTACTCACTCTGCGATCCCCTTCAAGTGACACTAGAAGCACTTCCTCATTGCGCCTATCCGGTGACGATGCAGCTTCGAGCACCAGCCAAGCCGGTGTTGGTATTACCCTGAGTCCCCGGGCTGAAGCTTCTCTGGTTGATTGGATTCCAATCAGTAGCCGGATGTGTGCGGTTCGATTGGCTGGCTCGTTCAAAACTTCGAAGTCGCGTGGGACTAACAGGTGTCTATTCGTTATCGCTGCCTATGCACCGACAAACTGTAGCGATGACTCGGTAAAAGACGACTTCTATCGCCAACTGAAAGATCCTCGCCACAGAAGAAGCTCGGACACTGTAGTGCTGGCTGGGGATCTGAACGCTCAAGTTGGAAAATTATCCACAGATGAGCTGCATCTGGGCGGCCAACATGGTATAGGCTCCCGTAATGATAACGGTGAGCGGTTACTTCATTTATGTGAAGATGCTCGCTTATTTCTTGCGAGCACTAATTTCCGACACAGCACCCGCCGGAGGGTGACTTGGCGCCCACCAGCCTCGAACCAGCTATGGACGCAAATCGATCACATTGCGATAAGTTACCGCTGGAGAGGCTGCGTCCAGAACTGTCGCTCGATTTGGAGCACAGGTGTTGACACCGACCATGCACTTGTATGTGCTAACCTGCGGATGCGCTTTGGCGGACGTCCACGACGATGTTGTGAGCGCACTGACACCAGCCAACTGGTGAAGCCAGCTGTTCTGAAAGCCTATCAAATTACACTGTCATCCGAGTTGGATAAACCCTCACCGAATGCAGCTGAAGCTCACTGGTCTCATATGCAACAGGCCTTACTAGCAGCAGGCAAATCCTCATGTGGTATGTCTAATCGCCAACATGAACATTGGGTCTCTTCACAGTCTCTGGAACTTATAGATGCTCGCCGGCATATTCCGGCTGGAAGCGAACACAATGAAACTCGCAAAGAGCTCCGGGCGAAACTCCGTGCTAGCCTGAAGAGAGACCGCGAATCCTGGTGATCTCATCGTGCAACAGAGATGGAAATGGCCGCTGCCCTTGGTAACCATCGTGAGTTATTCCGTCTTATACGGGAAACGGGCAGCAGGAGACCTGGTGTTAGTGAAGCTATACGTGACGAGAGTGGACAGCCTATCCACAACTTACCAAAACGCCTGGAACATTGGGCTGAGCACTTTGAAAGGCAATTTAATCGGTCGGAATTGTTAGATTTCTCGCCGACCAGTGATTGCCCTGCTCCGTGGGCTGTTCCTTTGGATCCACACTTTCGCTCAGAAGTCGAACGTGAGATCAAACTGTTGAAGTTAAATAAAACTGCGGGACCTGATGACCTTCCTCCAGCCCTCTTCAAATTCGGGGGACCTGCTCTTGTGCATGATTTACACGAGTTACTAGTGAGACTGTGGGAGCAGAAAACTGTCCCAACCGATTGGAGCCGCTCCATCATAGTCCCAATTTTCAAAGG